AAAAAAAAAAAAAGAAAAAAAGAGAAATATAAGAGGAAACGAAATATAAAACGAATCGAAAGGGATATTCGTACGATCGATATTTTTGTTATTCGCGATTCACGGGCGTATATATATTTTTCTCTGTTTCCATCTCGTTCTTCTCACCGTGAATTCCACGCTAACGGCTCTGCTCCCGTTCATTTAACTTTCATACGGTGCTTGTAAACCGTGTAATTTCGTTGTTATGATTGCTCGATGGCCCTTAACGTCGCGTCGTTTTAAACAATTTGTCCTTTAACTAGTCACACGTCCCGTTGCATTTAATATTCAAAATAGTCGCGGGGAAAAAAGCGTTTACGCACGGTGAACATTTAGCCCTTTGTCGACACTGATTAAATTTATCCTTTCTGCATTTAATGTTAGATTTATTTTTTTTTTTTGTTGCTTCTTTTTTTTATTTTGTTTACAATGTAACAATCAAAATGAATTACAAAGTTATATAATTCATAATCGTGTCTTTAAAGGGCTATTTTCATGTATTAAATACAAAAGCATAGATTTAATAATTGGTAATATTTGTTCAAAATATCGTTGAATAATCTAAAACGTTTTATTTATTTAGCGATCCTAGCAGTATATTAGGAGGTGTACGCCTGCCACCCGATACAGAGATTATCAAATACACGTCGAGCATAGTCGGTCCAAAGGTTCCTGGCACAACGAACCGCGGTAGAAAGAAGACCATATCCTTGGACACGCCGAGCGTGAGCGTACATCCGCCCCCCGTACCCGCTCTCACCGCTCATCAAACAAACACGACCACCACGTCACTGATGATGGAACCGAGAAAGTATAATCGCACGGGGGTAATTATCGGCCTTAAAAAAAAAAAAAAAAAAAAAAAAAATATGAAATTTCTTAAAATGCAAAATTAGGAAGAAAAAAAAATGTTCACCTCTTTCGAAAAAACAATTAAATAATCATTAAACGTTAAAGAATTAAATAAAGGAAGGAAGGGGGACGTAAAGACGTTTTTAATTTCTTTCAGAGCGAGTCGAACGATTACAGGGAGTCGGTGGATCGCGTGGAGGTGATCAAATTGCCGGCACATTCGACGAACGGCTCCGTTCTACCGGCACCATCTTCCTACACGACCACCACCAACACGAGCAACTCGAACGATTCGGACGCGCCGCTGAACCTCTCGTTGAAACCGGCGACGACCAGCAGTAATTCGCCGATTTCCGGCAGCCAGCCGCTCAGCCAGCTCAGTAATTTAAGTCAGTCGTTACTCGCCTCCGATCGAACTTGTGAGTAGCGTTCGTCGCCTCGGAATAATCCACGAATATCTAAAAACTCCAATTTTCTCCATTTTTAACACTCTTCCATCCTCGTCTTAATCATCTAAAAATTTTCATTATATTCTAAATTATATTCTCTGTATACGAATATTTCAATGTATGGCCACCACGTATCACGAAAATCGTAAATTTGCGCGTGGTAGCGAGAAGAAAGCCAGGACCGAAGCCTCGAAGGGTGCCGCAGAACTCCGTGCCGGTGCCGGCATCCCCTAGCCCTTCGTTGGCGCAGCTGTTCGCCGCCGCCGATTCACCGCAACGACCGAGCAGCGGGAGCGAGGAGAGCGAGAGCGCAAGCACGACCCACCACAAGGACGGCCGGCCAAGGAACCTGGGTCGCGGCGTTTCGAAACCGAAGAAGAACACGGTTGCCTCGTTGCTCGCTCAGAGCAGAGCCCTGGGAATCAAACCGACGCCCACGTTGGACCCCAGTGTGCCATTGTCCCATCAGGTCTCGTTACTGAGGTCGAATATTCTGGCTGCTCAATTGCACGCTACAGCGACCGGTCAGACCGGTCAGACAGATGACAAGAATCAGGTAAAGTTCGTGGTCGATATGTATATATATATATATACACACATATATATATATTTTTCGATGTAATTTCTTTTCACTTCATTTTTTTCACATTTGTTTTTTCTTTTTTTTTTTTATTTTTTTTTCTTTTTTTGGTTCGTTATTGGTTCATTATTGGTTCATTATCAATTTTATCGAAAATACATCACGATCGATTCGTTTTTAACCGACGATTCGTTTGATTCGAAAATCGAACGATGGAGCAGCCACACCATTATCACGGAGGGGAGAAGTAAACGAGTAAAGTTCGAAGGGAGGCGGATTTTTTTTTTTTTTTTTTTTTTTTCTTTTTCGCTTATGATTTCCCACTAAAACCATGCTCCCTATATAGCGGTCTTTGCAGGAGAAGATGAAGAACAAGTTGCTCGAGGTCTCCGGCGAGGAGAGCAACATGGACGTGACGAGCGAAAGCGGTAGCAACACAGACGTTGTGACGGATACCGACGACGACAACACGGACGGCGTCTCAAGCGCGAAGAGAAGAAAGGTGAAGCCCAGCGAGAGGGATCTCCAGGTGCCGTTGGAGCGCGGTTGGAAGCGGGAGACCGTCATCAAGGGATTGGGGAAGTCGGGAGTGATAAAGGGTGACGTGTCTTATTACAGCCCTTGCGGAAAGACGTTCAGAAGCAGCCCGGATTTAGCCAAGGTTGGTCCATAATTGTTGCTCTTTTCCAAGTACTGTTATTATTATTTTTCCGTTTATTTCATTCACCCTTGGCTCACGTAATTAGAATTCAGAATTGGCTGTTTCAGTTTCTAGAGCAACAGAATCCGCCCGAGTTGACGACCGCCAACTTCTCGTTCTCCTCTCGCCCACTTGTAGGCGAGTTTCTACAACCGACTATGGGCCTCGCGGAGGCGGAATTCGTCAGGTTGGGGGCTCAGGAAGTGGCGAGAAGGTTGGAGGAGTTGAGAGCCGCGGGTGGTTTCAGGGATTCGAGGACGAATAACCAATACGAGAGGGAGAAGTTGGCGTACGCGAAAAAATTGGCCAAGGAGGAGGCGCAGCGACACAAGGAACAAGCTAGGTAAAAAGACGTCACTTTCTTAAAAAAATTATCGAGTCGAATCGGATTTTTATTTTTCGTTCAATTCGTTAAATATAATTTTCCATAATTTTCGGTCTGTTCAGTTTCGATTCGATTCGTTTTCGTATTATGATTGGATTAGAACGTATACCGATATATATATATATATATGATGTTGTGTGTGTACGATGATGATGATGATGATGATGATCGATCGATCGATACGGTTTCAGGTTGATCAAGGAGCAAGAGAAAACGGAGAGACAGGAGGCGGTTAGACGGGAGCGGGAGATTAGGAATCAACAGTTGCTCGAGGTAAGTTGAAACCTCTTCATATCTTCTCTTATGTCCGTGTTTTACTTCCTTTTCACATTTTGTCTCGATTCTCGTTGTTTCATTCACAAGGAGTCTGTTCTCTCACTCTATTTGGGATACCTACTACGTTTTTTTGTATTTTTGTCCACCTGTCGTGCGTGTCGCATGCTCTCTGTGTGTGTCGTATTTATATTATACATATACATATATATATTATCTATATCTATATACGTATATTATATATACATCTATTTGTACATTATATATATACATATATATATACTCCTCCTCAGTGGATATATTCTTGTAACTCCAGATACTCTTATATATATACTCGCATATATATATATATGTGAACCCCTTGTATCGCCCCTCTCTCTACGAAATTCCAACAACCAACCAACCGAGCAAAAGGAAAATAGAAAGAAAAAAAAAAAAAAAAAAAAAAAAAAAAAAAAAAAAAAAAAAAA